CAGCAAAACTTAAAAATTAAGTCAAAGGCAATTCCCGTACTGCAGCGTCTTCGCTACAAGTGGCGACGTGTGTGCTGACTGCATTAATGACAAGAGTCGCCTGTTGAGGGGAAGGTTCAAGGACACTTTGTACCCACGTTCAGTAGAGCTTGCTCAGTGTTAAAGTCTCATAACTACTCGCTGATATTTCCGTAAGGAAAGGCCACAGATTACTTGTCTGTAGTTTAGTTTAATTTTATATTAAGTGAAATTCCTGGAACTGCTGGTTTTTTGAATTACTTTAATATGTTTTCTTTTCTTTTCTAGGTGTTTGTTTCAGGATGGTAAGGCAGTGTCTGATTTCCCACTTCTGCTTTACAGTGTAGTGTTTCCAGTGCTAAAAATACAGCAGCAGGTCTGTAGAGTATAAACATAGCCAACCTGAACTTTGAGTTCTAGGTTAGACGATTAAGTATTGTAAGTGGATTCGAAAGGAAAAATATATTTGTTTTGTATTACTATGATATTAAACTGGACTTTTAAAAACTTATAATGCGCTGCTTGTTTGTATAGTACCCAAACATTGTGTTTGGATTGCTTGTGATAAAGCAACCACAAGTAACGTGTTAATCTTCAGAAAGGTCAGATTTGAAGTTCTTGATATTGGCTTCTGAAACAGTGTGTTCCAGTTTATTTTTTTTTAATGGTGGTTTTAGTACCTGTACTTCAAGAATCGTATTGTGTTTCCTTGTAACAATGTGCTACAAACACACAATCTGTGGCGTTTCATTAATTTGCTATTAATGAAATGAAGTACACTATCTGGACTAATAGTGTTTTTATTGTCCTACATGGAAGAAAAATTTGATGGATTTCTGCAAAATAGGCTTTGTGTTCCCTGCTGTTTCGGTGTTCAGAGACAAATTATGAAAACCGTGCATATATTTTACATGTACATGAAAGAGAAAAGGAGAAAGCTTAAAAAACCTCAACAAATCCTCAGAAAATAGGATATCTGGAAGTTTTTGGTTTCGTTACAGGAAATTAATAGCTGGGAAACCATAATTTCTTGTAGTATTGCAAAAATAATAAAGTATAATTAGATTATGACCTTTGCTGCTATTTGTTAGTTGTAATGCAGCAGCTGGGGGTAGAATTTAAAGAGTGAAAGTCAGGTGGAAAGGAAGTAAAAGTGGAGAAAAGAAACTATAGAGTTTGTATATATAGCAGATTTAATGAACTCAGACACCGATTGTTGAAGAAGCAAATGAGCAGTGATAGGAGCTATAGAAAGGAATAGAGTCAGTACAAGAGAGTGGCATGGACTCAGCAGAGTCCTTTGTGATCAAAACTGTGTTAAAATTTTCTGAAATGGAGAGAGCAAGTCTTTAGCCTCCTTGTGAATGGTGGAAAAAAATTAGAAAGTTTCTATGCATGTACATAGGATAAAGCAAAGGGAAAGGTGAATTTTTTTACAAGCAGTGTAATGTCTTGGTGGGAGCCATATGTGCACTTTTTGAAGAAAAGTATTAAAAGCTGTGAAAACAAAAGTGGGGATTCTTATGCATTTGTTATGTATATGTAAAATCTCATTCTTGTTCAAAAATTGGCTGTTTCTGCTGCAACGTCAGAGCTGACAGTATCTTAATGCCTGAGTGTGGGCATTGTACATGGAAATTTATTTTTTGTAAGTGTAGGACTTAAAACTGTGAAAGTGGGGTTTTAAGTGGTGCTCATATGTTGTATATGCTGACACTGATTGTCCTCTTTCATTATTTTTCAAATTAGTACACAGAAGAGGAAGCTAGGAAATTAGGAGTGGTTGGATGGGTTAAAAATACCAGTCAAGGAACTGTAACGGGACAAGTTCAGGGCCCAGAAGATAAAGTAAATGCAATGTAAGTATTTTTTGTTTCTTCTTAGTCTTAAAGTCATTTACACAAGCATTTTTAATGCAAAGTGACATATAGATGCATGTGTCAGTAATGTGACAGTGCTTCCAATAATCAGTTTAACTTTTGAGGGATGTACTCTTTTTTTAAGCTGTAATAAAAAGTCTTTAAGCTTTAAAAGCAGTGTGTAGCATCGGTTTTAATTTCTAGTCTCATGCAGTTTGTCAATGTGTTTCCCTAAAGTATTCTTTTCCTATAAAATATAGAAAAAGCCTTTTCTCATACATGTGAGCACAGATCTGTTTTAATTCTTCAAAACATCTCTATAAAGAAACTGACTGAAGAACTTTTTTAAACGCTTGCTCAGCCTGTGCTTAAAGGAAACTGGCTTTAAATAGGATTTTCTTTCCCCTGATTTAAAAACAAAACAAAAGAAAACATTAATACGTATTTCAGCAGAGGCCTGTAATCTCTGCCATCTGGAAATAAATTTTGAAGTGCTTTGGCCTCTTTAAATGAATAGTTATGATTTTTCTGTATTAAACTTCCAATTTACAAATGCTTACAGCTGTCACTGAGGAAATGATGCCTGGCAAAACACAAAGCCCAATTCAGTTCCTATTTACATTGTTCTACAATTTTAAATCGGGTCAGCAAGCTGGATTTTGACAAAAAAGATGTTGAAACTTTCGATGATATGTTGTGTTTGATATTCAGAGCAAATAAAAAGTTGTTTTAAGTTGCTGCTTCTTCATTTTGTGCAGGCGGTCAATGTTTTCACTCTAATGTGGGACCAATGCTGCAGTGCTCGAGTTGAATTACGATTTTGAGGTTTGCATTGAGATATGGCTTGTTAAATTGCAGATTCTAGAGTAGAATGCTGAAAGAGAAACAGTTCACTTTGCCTTGCTCCCTGCATGTGCTCTGATGTATCAAAAATGTAGTGAGTTTATTTTTGGTATTAAATTGGTGAACTTGCACATGTAAAGGGAGTGACTGTATATGAATAGCTGCTTCGAAGGTCCTTATTTTTCTCTGCCGGTATATGTTACTTGAAGGAGATCAAAATAGTCTTGAGTTCTTGAAGTCTTTTCCAGAGCATACAGCATTTTTTGTAATGCTCAGTCATGCTTCCTAGGAATTCATAATACTGTGTTCTAGATTCAAGGGTTATTGAAAATGCCATATTAAATAAAAACAAAATGAGGCTTGCTTCTGCTATGGCAATTTAATATAAGCCTGTGATCCTAAACATACGTTTGTATTCAAACTGTGATAAATAATCTGGAGCAAATTCTGGTACCAGCTTCCTATGCAAGCTCAGAACCTAAAAGCCCTGAAAGAGACCATATGTATATGACTCTTAGAAACTTGGATATCTCGTATGTTCAGACAAATTGGACACTTTTCAGAAGAATACAGCACGTGAATCAATATTGTAAGATATTTCAAGAAGGATTCCTGGTAAGTGCCATTGCAAATATTGGAACAATGTGTTACCTTGTAGAAATATTTCAAAAGCAGTTTGTGCAGTGTCTTTTGGACTGGCGTTTTCACACTTGCATAAGTTTCCAGATTAAACTTTAGGCACAGAACAGCCTGATTTTCAGAGGTGTCACACTTGGGCTTGTAAAATCACATGTTAATAGTAATAAAATGATTTGTCAGTTGCTTTGCTGGTTCTGGCTTGTTCCTGATACTGTTTTTTAGGGGAAGATGGAAGGGGTGTTGTGGTTTATCATGAACAATGTTTATATTTTCATAATGCTAAATAGAATCAAGAACATAGGCTAAAAAGAGTAGAGATGCCATTATAAAGTACGATTCTAGAACAGGTAAACAGGAAGAGCAATACGGGAGGGAGGAAAAGAGGAATACGGGTTTGAGAAGAGGATAAAGACAGGGAAAGTGTAAGAAGAAAAAATGTGGGAAAAACATCATGTGACAGTTCAGTGTTACCAAAAGCATGGAGTGAATAACAAAGAATGCCTTTGTTCTGGAGCAGTAATGTGGCAGACCTCTAACCAAGTGGTTTTTCAGCAGTAGTCTTTTGCCCCTGATTTTCTGACCCTTTTAATTCTCTTTTCTATCATTACTTGCATTGTGAAGCACAGCTAGGAAGCATCCTGCCAGGGAAAACCGGCCTCATTTGCCTGAGCCTGGTGCAGCATGCTGAAGCTTGGGTTTTGTCCTAAAATGTGGAAGTAATTGTTTCCCTGCAGAAATAAAATATGATTATGATAAATTACTTGGAAGGATGACATGCAAAATATTATGCTCTGGAGTGTGCAGCAGCTTAGCAGGGCCATTCCGACTCTTCTGGAAATAAGTGGAAAATAGTGGGTAAGTATGAAGAATTGAGGCCTGGAAAATTGCGTGTGCAAGAAGTTTCATTTCTTATTGAGCCATTCACTTAGTGTTGAACATGAGTGTGAATTTTTGCTGAAGTGATGTCTTTGATTGACATTCTGTGATGGTGAAATCTTGGTAACGCTGAACACTGGCAAAATTTGCTGACTTTCCTGAGGCTTGATTTTTGTTGTGCAGGTCACTGAAATCCTGGCAGCTTAAGGTAGGAAGGAGCAGGTTTTGATTTTTAGATATTTTCGTTGCAAGATTTGTCTTCAGTCTGTTTGTAATGAAAAACTTTTAGATTCTCGAAGATCAGGTGACTTTAACTCAACGTATTTTGAAGCCAGATTTTCATTTTAGTTGGGAGATCTTGCAGACCATTTTAGAGGGTATTTGAAGAAGTGTAGAGAACCTCTAAGTTTGCTTTAATATCCCTTGCTTTTTAGCCTCTAGATGGAGTTGTTTGTTCTGTAGATGCTTTGAACTACACATCCTTCCTCTGAAGTGAATCTATTTTTAGACTCTCGTGGTAGAATCCATCTTTTTCTTCACTACCTTTTTCCCTGCTGTGTTTTATAGCCCTCTTACGTTTGGTGCTACTGTTCCACATAGATAACACCCATTATCTTTAGGTACTAAAAGCTCATTTTCAGTCTTCCACCTGTCTGCAAGGCAAAGAATACTAAAGTCACAAGAAAAGCAGAGTCACAGCATTTCTAAAACATAATGACATAAGGTTTTATGGTAAAATGAAGGCTTTTTTTTTTTTCTTTTCCAGGCCAGATATTAAATGGGGTAGAGGTGGTAGTTCTTTGGTGTGGTTTTTTTTCAGGAAGACTTAATAGTGCAGGGTTTTTCATTATAGTATCTTGTGATATTTTTCCATTTTATCCATTAAATAAGGTTAGAGCCTTTGTAGTCATGGTGGTTGTTGCCATAGCAACTTGCATTCACAGGCTAGAAATGGCTTTCCTACGAGAATTTTTGAACTTCGGATGGTGATAAAACACTTAGTTATCCATTAAAAAAGGAAGATGAGACTCTTGTAGTTTGCCAAGTTCAGAATTTATTCAAAAAATTGGAGATTTCAAATGAAGCTAACACTTTAAAATGTAAAATCTTAGGACATTTTTCTAGACATGAGTGGTATATAGTGTTCTTCATGTCTTTGTAGAAAACCATGCTATTAAATATAGATTGCTTGTCTTGAAAATTGTTTTTAATTAGTAAAGTAACACTAATGTAATTTGAATGTTTTACTTAATGTCAGTTAAGGATTACTATTAAATATATAGATGACATAAGACTTGAAAACAATCTAGATTTTTACCATGTAAAAGAGGAGAAGGGAACTCTGCATTAGTTAATTTTGCAACTGTCATTCTGTCTTGTTCATTAGTCACAATTCCCGCCTGTACCAACTGGCCTTGAATAAATACTTTCTGCCTCAATATAAATTTTTTAGTTGTTTGCAGAGAATAGCCCCGATGACATGAAATGGAACTAAATGCTAGTAAAAAACCCCTTCATATTTAGACTGTGACTAAATCTTAAGACCTAATTTATGTTGAGATATAAAATGAGCAGATTTTAATCTATATTTTAAGATTTTTCTCCATTTTAAGTGGAAGTGTTTTAAAAAATAAATGGAGATATTTTAAAAAATTTTCAGCTCAGTCTAAGTGTTGTTTAGGAAAGGAAGCTGATGCTTCTTTGCACATGAACCTAGGCATAACGGTAGAAATTAATATACAGTCACTATGACTGTTCATTATATGCTTCGGTGTTACAGAAAACAATTATAAGATTGTGTGAACTGATACCTTTTGACATGTTTATTTTCTGTAAACATACATCTGCAGAGCACTTAATGTTTACCTGGTGTCTTGTCAATGAGGCATCTATGAGACATTAAGAGTATGGCTGAAATACTTCCTCGATGTGCTCTTCTTGGGAAACTGACTGATATATTTTGAAGGAAAAAGGAGGGGATAATTAAAATTACATTCTTTAAGATTTCTTTTTTCACTAAAATGTGAAATATGAAAAAGGGCTACAATGTGTTCTCATTTATGATTGTAATGAGGTACAGTTTTTACATAAATCACTGCTGAAGGTGATTTGTGGTATTTCAGGGAGTCTGGCAGTCAGGTGACAAGAAATATGATGGGGTTTTCATAGTTCAGTGTGGGTCCAAATATAATAAGCTCAGGGTTTTGTACTCGATTTTAATTTTGTTTGTTTAAAGGTAAAAATAACCTATACTGGAACATTAAATTATGTTAAACTATCATTTTTGTGGCTAGCATAACAGTAAATGTGACCATCTCTCTTCATACTGAATGTTGGAAGAATTAATTTCTTATCTGTGATTATTATTTTATTGCTCAAAATTGCCAGGCTAAATTGTGAACTGCTTAAATTAAGCAGGCTCAGAGCTTGGTCCTGTAAATTAAATTTGCTAGGTGTTACTGATGGTGACCTGGGGAGGAGTGGAATTAAACCATGTTCTTCTGAGGTTTTAGCAGTTCAAAACTAGATAACTGAAGAACTAATTACAGTTTGTTGTAGCAACTGTACTCTACTTGCAAAGAAAAGGAGTTGGTCAGGTCAATCAGAAGATGTAGTTTTTTGTGGCTGGTTTCTGAGAATAAAACC